AAAGTGTAAAGTGATTTGCCATAGTTACTCAGTGCAGAGAATGGCAAAACAGAGTCTTGAATCCAGGAACTAACTTACACACCTTATGCCAACTGACTTTTCATGACATAGTGGATGATTGATTGATTCACAGGTTCATTTGGTCAAACCACATTTAGGAAGTGCTTACTGTTTGACAAGAACAGTGTAAGACAGTGTATACAGTTTGTGGTGTAATTTCTCGGTAACCAAGTAAGATAACAGGATATGGAATCACTGTGAATGGAAAACCTGGAAATAATCTCTTGTAGAGTATTGGAGTAAATTGGGCTCAACTTGAAAAAAGTTGGGCAAGTGGCTAAAGGGAGTAAAGGGGATAGGAGATTTTAAGTGGGGAAGTGGCAAAAGTTAAAACAGAAAGAGAACAGTGAAGAAATTAGCCTGTTTGAATGGCATGATGGGGATTTTTCTTGTATTTTTTCCCTAGTTTCCAAACTTTCTGTATTAGAACTATATGGCTTATTATTTTAGCATTTATTTAAACAAGGGAAAAATCTTATTGGACTAAAGTGGGAGAATGGTAGATAAGGTGATTAAATGTATTAGGAAACACATCAATCTGCTAGCAACAAAGATACCGCAAATTACAGTAGGGTACAAATGATTAACATTTATTTCTGTCTCACAAATGAGTCAGATGTAGACAGGAAGTCCAGGATATGCTTTATGCCACAAGATAATTAAGAAACTCCAGTTCCTTTTCTCCTGTTTCTCTGATCTTGCAACACCATCAGATGTGAGTTCTGGTGTTTGGAAAAGAGAAACGGGAAGGTGGGGAGTAACTGGCTTTCATTTAAGGACGTGTCTCAGAAGATGTCCACATTCCCACTACTTATGTCCTGTTGGGTACACCTAGAGAAGCTGGCAAGTGAGATTTTTGATTTGTGTGGTCAGCTAATATTTAGGGAGCTCCATCACTCAAATGAAGAGAGAATATCTTCATCCTTTCATGTAAGGATGAAACATACAGAGTCAGAAAGAGCCCAAACTTTATGCCAACCAGTTATGTGCCAAATCTCTGTGCCTCCTTTTCTGAAAATTGGGAATACTTTATAGGACTATTATAAGAACCAAGTAAGTTAATTAATATCATATTCTTGCCAGAGTGCCTACTGCATATGTGATGCTTATTTCCATATATACCAATCTCCCCCTTTCTTTAAAAGTTTATAGCGACCAAACCCCAGGGAAGCCAGATGCTGGGTGCATACCAGACATTACTTCTCTGGCCTGATTGCTAAAAGGCCTCTGTCAACCCACTCTTTGGCCTGTTTCCCTCCAGTCCTTTGTTGACATCTTACCAGAGTCCTTTTACTAAAATACACTCCTTAATATATCAGGAACATTAGTTTTATTATTAATTTTAGCATTATGGCTACTTTTCACAACAATCCCTAATTTTATCCTTAGTAACATCTCCCATATTATAGACTTGGAAACTGAGGCACAGAGAAGTTAAGTAACTTGCCCCCAAATCACCCAGAAAGTAATAAGCAGATTCAAGCAGATTTATGTAACCTGAAAATCCAAGCTCTGAAGCGCTTGCTTACCTCACTTTCCTATTCAAACATCATCAAACTTCTAATTAACTAAACAAGATCCCAAATATTCTACCTAACATTCACTCTTCCCAGTCTAGCTCAGATTGCCTTGCCAGCTTTGTCTCCTGGCTCTTCACTCATGTGAGAAGATACTTTCCCCAAGGAACCTGTCCTGGACACTGGTCCCTGTATGTGCTTCCTAACTTCCCCAATCAAGTACTTTATTGTATAGAGTGACAATAATCAGAACTGATTATCGGTATGTTCTTTCAGATTGTGAGCTTCTTACAGTTTGCTACTTGTGCCCTCTTCCCCTGGCCTTGACCTACCACATTGCTTTAAGGAACCCTACACTTCAGTCAAACCACATGGCTCACTTGTTCATGAGCACCCATATTTTCCCACCTTCATATCTGCATTTGCCCTTCTCACAGCCTAAAACGTCTCTGCTTTCCCATTACATGTCCTCGGGTAGAAATAAATCTCTTCTTTCAGTAGCTTCACATCCCTTTCTACCAATATTATAGGATATGTTATCTTCCGCTATGCATTTATTTTTTTCTGCATTCAGCCTCTCCCATGGGACTAAGGAAAATGCTATATCATGTTGATCTTTGTATTCCCCCACCCATAGCATAGCAATGTCAGAAGGAACCTGGCAACTCTTAAGCATTCCATGAAAACCTGTAGGATTGAATTTGAATTAGTTTTTCACAGACCATTCTCAAAAACCCAGCACAGCCCCAAGAACTACCTGTGAGACTAGGGTTCTTAGCAGCACTTCACGGTCCCTAGGAGACTGGTGAAGCCCTGAAACTGCCTACATAACTGTGTCTACAGGATTTCACAGTAGAGCTGAACCACGACACACATTAGGTTTTCAAAGGATTCTGATTCAAAAAAGGGTAAGAACCACTGTTAGGAACTTAATTCCTTATTTCCTTGGGTTTCTTTCTTGCTTTTTGCTTTATTCGATAGAAATGCTTTTAACTTTGAAAGCAATACAACACACTGAGACATTTTAAAGTACAATTTAGTGAGTGAGACTCTCACCTTCCTTGCCCTGCCCCTCCTCTCCCCACAACACACTTACTCACACTCAGCAATAGCTTGATAAAACTTTGGTATATGTCTTTCCAGACTTTTGTGTAATAAAATTATTTCCATTGATAACATTTTTTTACAGCTTTATATCAATGAGTAAAAAGTTGAACTCCCCAATTAAAAAATGGTTTAAAAACACAGTTAATTTTTAAAATATACATGTTGGAGAAAGATACCAAACCTTCATAAAATATGGAAACAGCATGCATTTTGGGGTCTGGCAAAATGATATATGCATGCACACACATATATGCACACACATACACACATGTACATACACACATGCACACACATACTGCTCAGTGCTGGTGAGAGTTCGGAGGAGCATACCCTCTCACTTCTGCTGGTGGGAGTAAGAATTGGCACACATTTCCTTTTTTCCTTTTCTTCTTTTTGTGTGTTTGTTCTGTTGGTTCTTGTATTTAAGAACTTAGATTAAATGGGATCTCTCTCAACTTTGTATCTCTTGGTAATCATAGTTCAATTGCATGTTCATTAACCCTCCACTTCTAATATTTCTTTATTGTAAATATTTATTTTGGTCATCCTTATTATTAAGTGCTTTGTCCTGCTTTTGGAAATTTTATCCTTCATTTTAAATTTTGTTTCCCATTACTCTTGTTTGCCTTTTATGGCTCCTATGTTAATCCTTGTAAGGATTTTAAGCTTGTTTTAACTTCCTGAACCACCTTATTTTTAACCTCTTTTGTTCCCTTACTATCTCATTTCCTTTAATGACCTGTTTATTATTGTACATCAAAAAGTGTGCTCTATGTTACAAAGCCGGCTCAGATGCCCCCTGGGCCATACATCTACACCCATGTAAAGCAGTTGGCCAGTGACCGGCACAGTGTACTTAGAAATTGTTGGCCATCACCGTAGTCAGTACCAGGGCTGCTGGAGGTCACTTGACCTATTCATGTTTACAAAGTTGATTACACTATGAAAGTTTTTGTTCCAGTTCTGTTGGACTAGAAATATTCACAGGCAGAAAGCTGGTCGAGATGGAGGTCTGCAGTGCAGGAGTTCATTTCAGTAAATACTGACGGAGCCCTGAGAGCCTTCACAGTAGAAGCTGAGATTCTAGGTTACATACATTGTCAGGAGTTGTTTAGCTTAACTTGAGCCATTCCAAAAACACCCTTTTTGAATTCTGAATTAATCAAGATATCCTTTTGGTAAAACCTGAGATGTTCATCCAGGCGTTCAGCAAAATGAAATTAAAAGTTTGCTTGATTTATATGGACCCATTCCTGCCATGTCTTAGAGGGAAAAACTTGAACTTGAGAGGCATAGCGATCTGAGATGGAGTCTTGCTTGGCTCTTCCCTTTCCATCAAGACAGGACATGCTGGGCCAGAGATGAGCAGATCGATGGAAGATTCTGGGCCTGAGGAACAGTGGAAGAATTGAGTTCAGGCTCAGTTTTTAACATGGGAGCAGGGCGGTGGAAGAAGACTGGATTGATGCACATTGTTCAGATGTGGGTGGTGGGGTTCAGGGCCCTAAGGGGGGTGACATGGGGATCAGGGAGCAGGAGGGGCCGCAGACACCTGGAGGAAAATGGAGCCCGTCTGTTGGACCCCACTGCCCAGTTCGACAAGAGGCAGGGCAGGTCCACCTAGAGTTGGCTTTTGAATAGTCATGTCCGGAAGGGCTTTCATCAGTGACCGCTCCCTGTCACCAGCCCAAACTTGCACAAACTTGCGTGTTTGTGCAATCCCTGCACAATCTGTGACACCCCCACACAATCCTCCATTCATTCTCTCTCCTCCTCTCTCTCACCTGTTCTCACTTACACTCTCTCACCTCCTCTAACGTCTAAGCTCCTTGTGTCATCTCAGGTTGACGTTTTTGTCCTCAAATCTTACATAGCGCCTGGCAGATTTCCTCCACTGCTCCATAGCTTTGTCACCTTGGCTGCATTACTTCAGCTGTGGCTCATTTTCCTTTTCTGAACAACAAGGAAGATCATGATTACCAAAGGGTGGTTCTGAGATTAAATGAGATAAAAGGTGAAAGCTGCTTAATGTAGCACCCAGCGAATACGACTGCCTGTGTCTGCGAGTGCCTTCCTCCAGCACAGTGTCCATTCACTCTTGCCCTCTCGGTTACCATGAGCATGTATCCACATTCCTTTGCACACAGGGCCCATTCATCCCTCAGAGACTCAAGTGGCTGTGTGGCAGGTCCTATAAAACAAAGTGTCTTTCACGTTGCAGCTGTCATTGTTCCTCCCAGAATCCTTTCAGAGAGGAATAATTTTCTCCCTTTTATAGCTGGGAGCTGAGGCTCAAGAAAAGTGAAGCAACTTTCCCCAAAATCCACAGCTATTGAACCATAGAACTAAATTCGCACATAGCTGCAGAACAAGACTGCTTTTCTCCTGGCTAAACAGATACGCTTTACTAAGAAGGCCATGCTTGCTACCCCAGACTCCCAACAAACACATCTCAGCCTTTTTTTGGTAGGTCACATGCTTGGATTCTCTCCCTTCAGTAGACTTTAAAGTGCTTGAGGCTGGAGACTTGTTTATTTTTGTATAGTTATATTTCCATGCCTCATTCTTAGGGCAATGATAGATGTTCACTCAATTCGTGTAGATTGAATATATGAATGAATGTTTGTAAGGAACATCTACAACCTAAAGTGAATTAAATGCGAGTCTAATGAGAAGAGGAAAAAAGACAACAGAAAGAAACATTTCCATTAGACTAAGGTACACACACACACACACACACACACACACACACACACACACGCTCCCCTCAATGCAAGGTTCCTCCAGGGACACCACCCACCCTCCATTTCTGGACACACAGACGTGCACATTCAATTGTGACTGTTTAACTATTTTTCAGCTTGTGAAGAAATATGGGAACATTTTTAGCTTCCAGTTTGGTGCCTTGTCTTCAGTTGTGATAACTGGATTGCCCTTAATCAAAGAAGTGCTCGTCCACCAGGCCCAAATCTTTGTGAACCGCCCCGTAACACCTATCCGAGAACATGTCTTTAAGAACAAAGGTAAGTTTCTTAACCAATGTAAGACGTGGATGCTTGATAGTCTTATGGTGTGTAAAAGATGCTCTGGGACTTTAAGTGTCCAACACTCCCACGGACCAGGTCCATTATAATTCCTGCTGTTAAAGAAGGCTGGATGCCTACATTTCCCCACCGAAGGCACTCCCACAGAGAATTTGTCAGTATCAGCCCTAGAGACAGGCTGTGGGAGAAGCTGTGTCTCCTGCTGAGCGCACTTTAGGTGCTCGATGACAAGTGGCCACATCACTCAATGGCAGCGGAGGAAGAGGCAGTGCATTCTCGTCTGTCTGTCTGCTTCCCATTCAAGTCTCTTCCCCTAAGAAAGTGGAGATGGATCTGGTTCCTTCTGCTCTTATGTTAATTCCCGCCTCTGGCCTCTAGTTCTTTATGCTTTACTATGAAGGCTGTTTCCCTTGGGTCTTTCAAGCCTTCCAGTCTGTTAGAACAGTTTGGCATGAATATTAAAATTATCATTAAAAAACCTAAACATTTAAAAGTCCAAGTGAAAAACTCAAGCCTATTACTCTACCAAGGCATCATTTTTTTATTAGGTACTTCCCAATTCTTTTTTGAAATATTTAATCCATTAACTCTATGTTCATCCACTCTATTTATTATATGAAGCACAGTGCTAGACACTAATGACATAGCAGTGAATAGTACAGATAAAATCCATGTCCTTATGTAACTTCTATTCTATTCAGAAAGACAGTATCAATTAACTATAATAATTTGAATCCTTAGTGTTAGGAAGATATGTGCAGGAGGCCCTTGTTAATTGGGGGAAACTAAGTAAATGACAATTAATTTAATAAAGTGAAGAATCAGTCAGGAAAAGAAGGACTTGACTAGGAAAAGTCCCTGAGGTGGAAGAAGACAGTGAACTTGAGGAACTTGAAGGTGGCCAGTGTGGCAAGTGCATGGGTCAAATAGAGATAATTAAATGGAGATGCAGCTGCAGAGCCTGGCCAGGAATATTCGTACTAGTTATTATTAAGGATGCTGGTTTTTATGCTTATAACAGTGGAAGCTCTTGAATGGTTTTCAGTAAAGAAAGGAATTATCATGTTTACACCGCACATGTTAAAGACTTATTTAGTATACAGTGTAGAAAATGGTATAAAGGAAGCAAGATTATTGTAGCATTTTAGGCTAGAGAAGGTGGTAGCTTGGACTAGGGAGGTGGGAAGAAATGACAGTGCAGTAGGTTAGATCAGGATAATGGTAGTGAATGTGCGTGGATCCAGTAAGACATGCTGACGTAGATGGAGGGAGGAAAGTATGAGGTAAATACAGAAATGGGTAGATGACAAAAAGGAGGAACCCTTGAAGGACGACAAGATGTTTGGTTTGGCTTGGATAGGGAGCTGTACGGAGAAGAACGTGAATTCATTCATGGAGATGCTGTGTTTGAAACGGCTTTCAGTTGGCAAAGTCAAACAGACAGCCATGTATGTGTATCTGGAGCTCAGGGACAGAAGCCAATGGTCAACATCAGTGGATTGTATTTAAAAGTTCAAGTTGATGAGATTTCCCAGCAATGGAGTATCGGTTGTGAAGAGAAGAGGTTTTCAACTTTATCTTGAAGAGCTACATTATTTTAAAATTTGATAGAAGAGGATGAACTCTCTCAAAATCTGGGGGAATTCTCTGTGTCAGAGAATTAGGGGGAAAATCTGGAGAGTGTTTCAAAAAGGAAGTGTCTCATGGTGCTGAAAGGACAGGGAAGATGAGGCTGAAAAGCTTCCGTGGGCATGGCAGGGAGGGCCGCCCCCCACACTGAGATGGCCGAGGCAAAAGCCAGACACTAAGAGGTGCTGAAGGGCGCTTGGAAAATGAAGAAATGAAAGGAACGTGGCCTTACCTGTGTTGTAAAGCAAATGATGGTCTGTTAAACATACTAAGGTTTTTGTTTTTTACCTTTGCCTGCGCTATTCTTTCTGCAAAAGGGATGTTCATTCTTGCTTGCTTTAGTTGTTCCTAGTGCAGCTCAGATAAGAAGACCTCTACTTTAAAGCCTTACCTTCCTATGGACATGGATTTTATCTGATCTGTGAGTTCATTCTTAGTATGTAGCATAACATAAACACTTAAATCTACTTTAGGTGACTAGGAATCAAAGCTCAGGCTTTGGAATCAGGCTAACCTGAATTAAAGCCTGTTCAGCTGTTTACTAATTCTGTGACTTTGCAGAGTTTACTTTATCTCTTGTGCATCAGTTTTCTCATCAGCCAAATGGGGGTGAGGTGATAATTACACCTACCTTATAGAGTTTCTGTGAGTACTTAGTTATGTAGTGCATAAAAAAAACTACAGTGGCTGGCATTGCAAGCAATCAGTAAATGCCATTATCCCCACCACTGTGGGATTATTTCTCTGACTAGTTTTCAGGAGCCTTAATTCCCTTCTCCTTCCCTCCCATATAGATCCTCATACCATTTTCCAGATAACCACATTATAGGATCAGAATACTATAATTTTGGCTTTTGTTTTCCCAGGGGTGATCATGTCCAATGGCCAGGTGTGGAAGGAACAAAGAAGGTTCACACTGATGACACTAAGAAACTTTGGTTTAGGAAAGAAGAGCTTAGAAGAACGCATTCAGGAGGAGGCCCAGCACCTCATCCAGGCAATAGAAGAGGAGAAGGGTGAGTGTTTCCTAGGTCAGGTGCTGGAGGTCGTGGCTCATGCACTCACTCACTGAACAGCTACTTTTTAGGTGCCTAAGTACCTGTCTTGTGCCCAGCCCTGTGCTAGAAACTGAGGATACAGCAGTGAACAACTAACCGTGACCCTGCCCCATAGGAGCTCAGGAATTGAGCACCAGGAGATGGGTATTAAACACATTACTGATTTTAAACACAGGTCACTGGTTTGGCTTACAGGTGTTGACTGAGTACTTGCTGTGTGTCAGACCACATCATGTGCTGTGGCCGGAGCCTCGTGCGCAATTCTGTACTCAGGATGTCACATGCCATGTAGAGCAGACCCTCAGTACAAAATAGACACAAACCAATCTGAAGGCTCCATCTCTTCTTCCACCTCCAGGGCAGCCTTTTAATCCTCACTTCAAGATCAACAATGCTGTTTCCAATATAATTTGCTCCATCACCTTTGGAGAGCGCTTTGAGTACCAAGATGATCAATTTCAGGAACTGCTGAGGTTACTGGATGAGGTTGTATATCTGCAGCCCTCAATGTGGGGCCAGGTAAGGGGTTCTCTTTCCATATCATTAAGGATGTAAGGGTTGATGTCAGGCACAGGTGGGTTCTCGTTTTTTTTTTAAGCTAAAATATAACCTTTTTAAATTGACTTCCACACAACCTTATTTGAAATGAACCTGTTAACTTCAGTGTTTTTGATAATGTTATTCAATATTTCCTATGTACAATGAACATTTCTAACACTTATGTAAAGTACAAAGCCTTACATGACATACATCTAAGCATCTGTGCTGTTTTATTTACAAAGCAGAATTTCGCCATTGCCTTTTAGTCCCTCCTCTCCTTGTCCCTCCCTAGCACAGCCATCTCCTCCTCCCTCAGAAGTACTGGTGTGTGCCTGGCTTCTCCCTCAGCAAATTGTTTTGAGATCCATCTGTGTCAGTTGCTCTTTTTATAAAATTCCGAATGGTATTTCATTTTGTGACTATGCTACTCTGTTCTCCACTGATGGACACTTGGGCTGTTTCCAGTTCGGGGGTGTTAGGAGTAAAGCTGTCATGAACATCCTCACACAGTTGTTCATGTGGACACATCCACTCATTTTTGTGAATATATGCCTGGCCATTAAAGATGCTGAAAGGCGTCCAAAGTGGTTACGTGTCCATCAACATGTGATATTATCAGTCTGTTAACTCCGTGGTGTGTAGACCTGGGGGTTCAAACCTCGCCCTGCCCTTGGTGGGGTCTGCGCTCCATTCTTGTCGCCCTAGGCCTGTGAGTCTGTCCAAAACGCTGCTCAGCTTCGTGCCCTCACAGCTACTTTTCTGGATTTGGAAGACACTTTTAGGGGAAAATTGGCTGCAAGTCTTAAGGTCGCCTCTGTTGTATCTAGAAGTAGATTCATTATTCTCCCTGATAAGCATCTGTGCCAGGAGCTTTATGGGTCTGTCACACCAAAACTGATAGAGCAGTCAGCATGAATCCTGGCACATTAAAGGGGCTAATGAATGTCAGCTATTATTATTATTGTCAAAGATGTTTTTTAATTTCTTATTTTTGATTCTAGTCATGGTGTCCCCAGTTCAGTAATTCCATCTTCTTCCCTCCTATTAAGACATATAACTTAGGAAGTCATGAGAGCGCAGTGGGTACCCAGCTGACTTTCCCCAGGGAAAAGAAATTCCTGAGTGGGTCAGAGGGGGCAGGAAGGCAGGAGTAATAAGCATTTTTTGAAGTCCAGAAAGAGACCAGGCATTCTGATGGACCACTGCCCGTAAATGAACTTTATCTCAGTTCATTTCCATGACAACCCTTAAAGGTCTAATGAAGTGTCATGGTGTGTGACAGCAGATGTGGGAGTGTGTGAGCAAATCAAGGTGTGGGCCACTGGCTCTGTGTTAAGTGCTGTATGGATCTCACATCATGACTAGAATAACGTGAATAACCCTGGGGCTCCACTGGTCACTAATTAAAATGAGGAATAATGAATTGCATGATCATTATCATTATTATTATTATTACCAAAGGATTATAGCCAGAAAGCACCAAAAGCTAATAGTTGAGCCCATGTGTGCCCCATTTTAAGTCTAGACTATTTTCCATAATGTTAGGCTGTGTTTTGTGGCAGATATTATTAGAGAAAATGTCTTGTCCACATGATGATTACATCAAAGTGGGGGCAAAGACCTATCTATGTTAAACAAGGACATCTATCACATATATTAGTGATGATTGGCATGAAGACAAATAAAGCAGGATAGGGGAATGGAGAGAGGGTGGTGGGTGCTGCTACCTAGGATATCAGCAGGTGAGACCACTCTAAGGAGGTGGCATTGGAGCAGCACCTTAATGAAGGTGCTGTAGTTACACAGATTTCAGAGGAAGGGCATTCTAGGTTGATGGAATAGCAAATGCAAAGGCCCAAACGGGATCGTTGTTGATGTCATCCCAGAGGCCATTGGGGCTGGGGCTGGCCTGGGGAGGGTAAAATCAACTGTAAGATTGGGGGCTTGATAGCAGAGGAGGCGACAGGCCTGTGAGAAGGCCCACTTGCATGGCGCCTGTGGGCCGGGAGAGTGGGGGAGAACTTTAAGTGTCATGGGAAGTCATTGGAGGATTGAGGGCTGAGGACGGATGATCCAAGTAGACTATTAAATGATCCCTCTGGCAGCTCTGTGGAAAACAGACGCGGTTGAAGGGTTAAGAATGGCACCACAACCTGTTGGAGGCTGTTACAACATCCAGGTAAGAAGTGTTTGACGGTCTGTAGAAGGTGAGAGGGCAGTTGGTGTGAAGCTGGGTATGTTTTGGACAGAGCACCGACGTGTTTCGGTAAAGGAGCAAATGGTAGACACAAGAGTCAATGGTGACTCCAGAGTTTAACCATAAGCAAATGGAAGGTGGAAAGAGATAATTTTTGTTGTCTTAAAACGTGGAAAACTGACACCACATTGTCTCTATGAATGTTCTGTTTTTCCTGATTAGCTCTATAATATCTTTCCCTGGATTATGAAAATCCTTCCTGGACCCCACCAAAAACTCTTTAGCAACTGGGAGAAACTGAAATTGTTCATTGCTCGTATGATTGAAGATCACAAGAAAGATTGGAATCCTGCTGAAACAAGGGACTTTATTGATGCTTTCCTCAAGGAAATAGAAAAGGTGAGGAAACCAGCCTTTCCCTGTGTTTATGTTCTCAAAGAGCACCTGGGGGTATCTCATTTCCTAGTGTTGCTGTGACAAATGACCACAGACTTGGGGACTGAAGGCAACACAGACTTACCCTCCCACAGTTCTTC